GAGTCCAGTTTTGGTCCCTCCACTACAGAAGGGATGTGGACAAATTGGAGAGAGTCCAGCGGAGGGCAACAAAAACGATCAGGGAGCTGGGGCACATGACTTACAAGGAGAGGCTGAGGGAACTGGGCTTGTTTAGTCTGCAGAAGGGAAGAGTAAGGGGCAATTTGATAGCAGCCTTCAACTACCTGAAGGGGGATTCCAAAGAGGATGGAGCTTGGCTGTTCTCAGTGATAGCAGATCACAGAACAAGAAGCAATGGTGTCAAGTTGCAGTGGGGGCGGTCTAGATTGGATATTAGGAAATGCTATTTCACCAGGTGGGTGGTGAAGCACTGGAATGGGTTACCTAGGGAGGTGGTGGAACCTCCATCCTTAGAAGTTTTTAAGGCCCGGCTTGACAAAGCCTTGTCTGGGATGATTTAGTTGGTGTTGGTCCTGCTTTCAGCAGGGGATTGGACTAGGTGACCTCCTGATGTCTCTTCCAAACCTAATACTCTATGCTTCTATGACTTCAAGCTCCAGAATATCTTACAGTGACACCAAATATAGCAACCATCAAGCAGATCTTAGAAATGCAGTACCATTTAAAAGTTAGTATGGTTTGTACAACAATAAATGGGACTAATGTTCACAGCACCTACATAAAAGTTAAAGATGAGCTACAGAGCAAAGTAATAAAATCATTTTAACTTTACCACTCCTTTATGATGCATAAAACTGACCTCATATTATTTTTAAGCTGGTTTTTGCCTTGTTTTTAGACTTTCTACATTTCACACACACATTCCCATAACATCTCAGTCACAGGCTACTTCCTAAATTTTACGTTTAGATGTGAAGAGATAATTCCCTTATTTGCCATGACCTATTTCATCTGAAAGGGAAAAACTACTGAACTGTCAAGTTCTGCTCGACACTTCTGTTCTCCAATGCCAGTACCCTGTCTTACCAGTTTTGCTAAACTAAAGACCCTGAGAAGTCAGGGAGTCAGGCTAGACAGCTGCGATAAGAAAAGGAGAAGAGTATAGGAGGCAGGGAGAAGGGTAGAAGTAGGGAAGATGAGCAGCCTTGGTTGGGGGGTGGGGAGGGGCAAAATTACAGTTGTATCTCAGAGTTTGGTTTGGAAGAACATGGTTATATGTTGGAAGCTCAAGGGAATTCACTGAAGAGATGAGGAAACTGAGAGAAACATGATCTTTGAGTGTTAAGATATGTCAATGAAGGTTACTTTTAATTAGCAAGTTCCTTGTGAAGGTGGGATTTGTGCCTGAGTAACCTTAACTCTTCTAGCACATTATCAAGGGGTGCAGTGCATGTACTCTCAAAATGCATGATATTTTTCTTCTTCTTCCATAGAGAGCATCTCAAATTGATCTTATGGTATCAATCAATAACTCTAGTATTTTAGTTAAAAAAATGTATAGGCTTTTCAATTGCGAAAGTAGCCTACTTAATGTAAATAGATACACTGTTACCCTGGTTAAACCAGCCTTGCAAGAATATGATCTCTCTAAACCCCTCTCGGCAGCCTAGTAACCTCAAAAAGACATTAACTTCAAATCCTACTGGGGACTATCTAAAATACTAACAAAAATGAGTAATTCTAAGAAATATTCAGTTGGCAACAAGGCATTTAAAATATTGGGCCAAATCCTACCCACATTACTCTCACTGATTTCAAACTCATGTATTTGATTAGCCTATCACTGACTTCCCTCCCTTAATGTTGATAGTTTTAAAAAAATAATGGATAAAATGCTTGTTGTTACTTATACATCTCATTTTATTTCACTGTCACCTGTTTTCTATACCCTCTCTCTTCTTATCCCACCGTGTCATGTCTTACTTTAGGCCCCAATTCTGAAAGCCAATCTACAGAGCAAATCCTTGTGCTCTTGCAGAGAGTAGGGCCCTAGCACTTAAGTTGAATGGGTAGGGAGTAGTTCTTTTTTGGTCTCTCTACTATCATGCAGAAGTAAAAGTACTACAGAAATAATCATGAAGTCAAATTTAAAATTTATAAAGTTCGTGGCTGTTTCATTCTGTATATTTTTATTTAGTTTTAATTGCTAAGCATGTTGAAGCTATAGTACTGTATGTTCAAATATCACATTATCTGAAGTGTGTGTAGAGTTGCCATAAATACAATAATACTGAAGGGAAACAATTTCTAGAATGCATTTTTCCTTAACCCAAATAAAACAATGTATCTCTGGGTGTGTCTACACTGCCCCACAGTTTGGGCAACAGGGGTGTAAATAGCAGTCAGCAACAAAGTGCTGCACTGTAACTCCCCCATGTGGATGCAGCAGGCACGCATCAAAAGGTTCCTAGTTCACATTAACATAGTCCTGTTTGAAGAGGACCATGTTAATGTGCAGCACATTGGGGTGCACACTGCTATTCACATCTCTGTAGTCCAAACTGTGGGGCAGCAAAGACACGCCCTTAATTCTGACAGGGCTGATGCACGTAGTCAGAACTTTACTAAATACCTTAGGGAAACATGTTCAATATGTGATGCACAGCATTGTTCCAAGATGCTGATCTTCAGTGAGTGTGGGTTCATTTATGTTAAAAACTTCAAACAGTTTGTAAACTTGGACTAAATTAAACTGAAGTAGTATTGCCTGACAGATTACTGTTCAAACAACCATCACACATGTACTTCCCAGAAAGTAGTCAACTACACACGTCATCTACATCTAGCCCAATCTATGCAGATTATCATAACATTTTCTACAGGCAAATGCAACTGGCGTGGATCTGAGCAAGTACCCAAGTATTAACAGAGGCCTGCCATCATTTGGGATTTACTGTACTTTAATAATAGTCAGCCGTATACTGCCTCTTCAGGTACAAGAGAATTAGACATTTTTCACCTGCTAACAGTGGTACAATCCTTTAAAATGTTTAAAAAATAATCATTTTTAGTTCATATACTCTGAGTCACACACTGCCACGTACTGTAAATATCCTGCCATCAAAGGCAAAATTGTCACATCATTGGATTCTTAAGCTTTGACTACACTAGGAAAGTTTCCCACTGCTAGTAATGGCTGCACCTGAACTCAGTGTAATTATGGTTTAATTGTGAGCACAGTCCAGAACAAATTGTTCAGCACCAATTCAGAAACCAGGATTGTGTTGACTATTGTCTGTTCTGTCCTACACTTGCAGTTAAACTGTGACCCCCTTGCCAATAACAGCCAGTTTTCGCAGTGCAGACTCCGCTATGGTATGTTTGGTGAGATCCAAAGAACATTTCATTATATTGTTAGGGTAAGAGAACTCCAAAATTTTGTACAAAGAAAGAAGCAGCCCATTCATGTTGTGTTTAAAGTTTTAAAGTTAAAATAGGTGTATTTCAGAACCAATAAGTGTCTGCTGGAAGCTTACATATTGCCAGAAATAAAACATCTGACACCATCTGTGACACAGGCAATATATTTAATACTAAACCAAGCTTTAAAACAAACAAACAAAAAACAACTTTAAACCAACAGTGAAGCAGGATAATGACTAGTTTACAAACCCTGGAAGAGCCAAACTGTCACATGAATTTACAAAAAGCAAATACCCAAGTCTAGAGTGCTGACTTTGTTTAGAGCATCTGACAGACCATAAACCCAGCATTTATAAAGATGAAATTACTTAGCATATGTGCATTGCTCTGAGAGCACTATACAAAGTACATACTATTGAGAACAACAAACCATACTGAAACACTGCCCTTTACTTTCATAATCTCCCTACCACTCAGAATTAACTTTTGTTTTCCTGGTTTGTTGGTTTAAATCATGCCCTTAATATTCCCTAAGTAGTTTGGAAAAGACAAAGTGGGTCAATATCTTTTATTGGTATGAGAGGCAAGATCTCCAGCTTACACAGAGCTCTTCTTCGGGTCTGGGAAATGTAATAGTTTAGGACATATTCTGTTTAACAAACAAATAACCTCATAATAAAGGCATGAGTTAATGCAACAGAATATCACCTTTTCCTCCAAAGGCATTTCAGTTCTACACTCAGTTATATAATTTTAATCAACTTGAATTGCAGCGTTGGTCAAGTTAAACTTTTCTTTTATAAAGCGTTTTTTGGTGTGTTTTAATCACTAAACTGTAGCAGCTCTTTCTTTAGAATGGTAAAATACTCAGAAAAGTATTAAAAGCCTTAGATTTAATTGACAGCATATCTATATAGCAGATTGTGAAACTTCCATCTCAGCTGTTTACAACTTGTCTCCAAAATGCCAAGGGCAATTAGATTTCCTCCTTAAAAACAAAAGCTTTTTTTCTTTTAAAGTTATAGGACCACAAGTACACACAAAAAAACCCACCCACTTTCTAATTATTTCCCCTAGGAGAATGTCAAAAAGCTAAATGCAGGATGTCTCTCCCCTTAATTTTCAAAACTAAACAGGTTTCAGAGGAACAGCCGTGTTAGTCTGTATTCAGGTCTCTCCCCAGCTGAGATTGTGTTTGCCAGGTTGTAATGGAAACAAGTGGATAAGCACTTAAATAAATAATGTTGGTAAACAAAACAAAAATCAGACTTCCTGTATCAATTTACTGGCAGCCTCCTAGGAAAAGATGGGCTGGGCGGGGAATTGGCAGAGCCATCCCACACACACACAGCAAGTGTCCAGGCACTGCAAGGCTGGCGCACGGGGCTGAACTTACTTTCGGGGGCGGGGGAAAGAACCCGCGCTCTGCTGGGCCCCTGTGCCCGCTGCCCTTCCCGCAGGGCAATGGGCTCGCCCGGGGCTCACCTGCCGATGCGGGCCGCGGGCAGGTGCCTCCGAGGGAGCGGAGGGTCTCGAGGCGGAGTCAGGGCCCGAGCAGCGGCCTCAGCGCGGGCCGGGGCCCGCTGCCCCCTTTCCCTCGCGGCCACGCCAGGGCCCTGCGCCCCTCCACCTCCGAAGGCGCCGTCCCTGGGCTCCGGCCCGTGCCCCAGGACCCCGCTCCCGGCCTTGTCAACATGCCCCCGCCGCCCCCTCACCTGATGTAGGGGCTGGCGGCCGCCAGGATGTTCTTCTGCACGGGGATCTCCGCGCCCTCCAGCACCAGGTGGGCGTCGCAGAAGCGGCTCTCCTCGCGGAAGGAGCTGAGGGCCCGCAGCAGGCGGGCGGCGTGCCGGGGGTCGCTCACCGCGCTCGGTCCCGACATCCGCCGCCGCCGCCGCCCAGGGCCGCGTCCCCACCGCCCGCCAGGGCCGCCGCTGAGACCGGGGCCGGCTCCGTCTCGCCCGGCTGCCGCGTCCCGCTCCTCCGTCCCCCGCCTGCTCGGCTACCGGCTTCCTCCCTCACTGCCCCGGCACCATCGCGCCCGGCCCGGCTCGGAGCTGACATCATCTCCCTGCGCTCGCCGGCCCCGCCTGGCGGGGAGGAGCCGGGGAGCCGCGCGGGGCGGCGGCGGCGAGGGCGGCTCCGGCCTCGGGGCTGGGGAGAGGCTGCCGCCCGGTCCTCCCAGCGCGCCGCCCTGCCGCAGCGCCCGCGGGGCTTCCCGCCAGTCGCTCCGCTCCCGGCCCAACTCCCCTCCTCCCGCGCTGGGGCTGGCCACCCCGCGCCCCTCCGCCTCAGGGCTGAGCCCCAGCCCCCTTCAGTTGACACGGGTCAGCCGGCGCTCAGGCCCTGGCTCTGGGGCTGCGCTGTGGGGTGGGGCGGGGCCGAGGCGTGTTGTGATTTAGGTACGAGCCCTGTTGGTTTGCTGTGTGGGAGCCGCGCGAGCCATGGGCCCGAGTTAGAAGGGCTGCATAGTGCCGTGTGGATGTGTTAGCACCTCAGACTCAGGTGTAAACACAGGTTTACAGGGCAGCGTGGGTGCTCCAGCATGGGCTTGGAAACCGTGACTCTGCAAGCCCAGGTCCCATAGACCTGGCATTACAATGTAGTGCAGTGTAGACATGCCCTCTGAGGCCTCCCCTGAGCCCCACTGTAGGGCCTAGGAAGCAGGGACCTTCCCGCTGGCACAGGCCCTTGTAACTGCTCTGACATGGGAAGGAAAGTGATTCCCGAGGCTAGGGACTGACCATCTTACGGATCTCTGCCAAGGGCAATTCTGAATTCATGTAGCTGGTCTCATGGCCTTCCGGATGTTTGGGTGCAAGGTGCCTTGGCCTAGACAAACTGGAGAACCGTTTATTTTTGAAAATTTAGGGGGGAAGCATCATCACTTTTGCTTTTTTGACATTATCAAAGGGATGGGACTGGATGCAAAGCATTATCCATATGGGTTTGGTCTTCCCGGAAGATTGGAAAAGGGCTAATGTAGTACCCATCTTTAAAAAAGGAAAGGAGGAGGATCCAGGGAACTACAGGCCAGTCAGCCTCACCTCAGTCCCTGTAAAAATTATGGAGCAGGTCCTCAAGGAATCCATTCTGAAGCACTTAGAGGAGAGGAAAGTGATCAGGAACAGTCAGCATGGATTCACCAAGGGCAAGTCATGCCTGACTAACCTAATTGATTTCTATGACAAGATTACTGGCTCTGTGGATGCAGGGAAAGCAGTGGATGTGTTATTCCTTGACTTTACAAAGCTTTTGATACAGTCTCCCACAGTATTCTTGCCAGCAAGTTAACGTAGTATGGGCTGGATGAATGGACTATAAGGTGGATAGAAAGTTGGCTAGATCATCGGGCTCAAGGGGTAGGGATCAATGGCTCCATGTCTAGTTAGCAGCCGGTATCAAGCGGAGTGCCCCAAGGGTCGGTCCTGGGGCCGGTTTTGTTCAGTATCTTCATTAATGATCTGGAGGATGGCATGGACTGCACCCTCAGCAAGTTTGCAGATGACACTAAACTGGGAGGATTGGTAGATACGCTGGAAGGTAGGGATAGGATACAGAGGGCCCTAGACAAATTAGAGGATTGGGCCAAAAGAAATCTGATGGAATTCAACAAGGACAAGTGCAGAGTCCTGCACTTAGGACAGAAGAATCCCATGCACTGCTACAGACTAGGGACCGAATGGGTAGGCAGCACTTCTGCAGAAAAGGACCGAGGGCTTACAGTGGAGGAGAAGCTGGATATGAGTCAACAGTGTGCCGTTGTTACCAAGAAGGCCAAGGGCATTTTGGGATGTATAAGTAGGGGCATTGCCAGCAGATCGAGGGACTTGATCGTTCCCCTCTATTCGACATTGGTGAGGCCTCTTCTGGAGTACTGTGTCCAGTTTTGGGCCCCACACTACAAGAAGGATGTGGAAAAATTGGAAAGAGTCCAGCAGAGGGCAACAAAAATTATTAGGGGGCTGGAACACATGACTTATGAGGAGAGGCTGAGGGAACTGGGATTGCTTAGGCTGTAGAAGAAAAGAATGAGGGGTGATTTCATAGCTGCTTTCAACTACCTGAAGGACGGTTCCAAAGAGGATGGATCTAGACTGTTCTCAGTGGTAGCAGATGACAGAACAAGGAGTAATGGTCTCAAGTTGCAGTAGGGGAGGTTTAGGTTGGATGTTAGGAAAAACTTTTTCTCTAGGTGGGTGGTGAAGCTCTGGAATGGTTACCTAGGGAGGTGGTGGAATCTTCTTCTTTAGAGGTTTTCAAGGTCAGGCTTGACAAAGCCCTGGCTGGGATGATTTAGTTGGGGATTGGTCCTGCTTTGAGCAGGGGGTTGGAGTAGATGACCTGAGGTCCCTTCCAACCCTGATATTTTATGATTCTCTGAAATGAAAAGTTGTACTTGTTTAACTAAAGATGTGATATTGCACTGATGGGAGAGACCCGGGGAAGCCTACATACCAAATTGTGGCCCCAATTTAAGGTGTGAGAGGGACATAGATGACTATCTCACTGCCTTTGAGAAGGCTTGCAGTTTGAACTAGGTTGATCCTGTGGACCGGCACCACTGTTGTCACCCCCGTACTTGCTCCCAAGGTGATAGAGGCATATAGCCAGATGGATGGAGGTGATATTGGGGACTATGAACAGTTCAAAAAGGCTCTACTGACTAAGCTTGAATTGACACCTGAGGCTCAAAGGAAAAGGTTTCTGGGTCTGCAAAACACCAAAGGTGTGACACCCTGCAGGGATCAGTTCTGTTCAATATCTTCCTTAGCGATTTAGATAATGGCGAGTATACTTATAAAATTTGCATATGATACCAAGCTGGGAGGGATTGTAAGTGCTTTGGAGGATAGGTGATAGTTAATGGGGAGATATTCATGTGGTAGAGAGATTCTGGGGGAGAGAACTCTTGGCAAACCCTGTGTGGTAAAACTCCATTAAACGCTGAAGGGATGTACAACTCGGAGTAAGATTCCAAATGTGAAGCCATGTGCCCTGCCTGCAGCTTGCATCCCTGTACAGACACAGGAGTGATTGGTAGCAGGGTTCTTCATGATCTCGCCTTTGACATCCTCCTTAGGAATGACTGTATCACTTTAAGACAAAACGCAGCCAAGGGCTTGAACCAGGCGCTGACAGGGAGCCAGACAGCTGCACAGAAGGTGTTAGCCAAAATGCAAATGGAGTGGCTGGCAGGGAGCAGGAGGGGTTTTCCCCCTTTATGGTAACACAAGGGAAAGGCTTTTAAGCTCAGGATACCTTCCTGTCTGTAAGCACACACCTGAAATTGAGTGGGGTGGTGGGAGGAAGAGCTCCCACGCATCTCCACACTGGAGGTGTGAGTCACCCTGGAGCTAAGGAGTGACCCCCCTGGAGCCCAATGCTATGACCAAAGGAGCAAGCTCACTGCCTATCCTTACACAGAAGCAGAGGAAGAGCTGAGCCCTGGGTGGCTGAGACCCCAGCTGAGTACAAGGAGACACATGCAGGGAAGGAGGACTGCCAAACATGTTTGCCCTGTCTTGGCATGAGAGAAGCCCCAGAGAAAAGTAAAGCAACCAGAATACTGCTGCTAGTAAAAGAAGCATAGTCATGTGGTGGCTATAGACATGGTGGGTTCTCTTAACCAAGAGATCCCCAAATCACTTCCTACCGGGAGGGGGCAACAGGTTGATTTCCAAAAGGGGAAATGTGTTCCTCCCATATGCACAGTCCTGGGGTGAAGACATAACTCGGGGGGGGGGAGGGGAGATCTGTCAGTGCTGGGGAGCACCATGCTATCCAATTTCCAGAGTCCCAGAAATACAGCTAGGTTAAGATGAGCTTTCCAGGTGAATAAACCTATCTAGATCCCCCCAAATGCTCAAGAGGGGGGTCATTTCCTACCCCCACTAGAGCTAAGGACACCCCAGGCTGCAGCCAAGATGGCTGACACATGGAGGAATGTGGGATCACTGCCCTCCTCACCCTCTGGAAGGCGAGTGGGCAGAGGTGATGGCAGGATCCCATTCCAGTTTCAATGCTAAAGGTGTTGGGATGGCAAAAGAGCAGAGGGATACATAAAACTCCCCATGTGCACACTACTAGTGTCATCTCAGACAAGTCCTAGGGGGAGGATGTGGAACTGCTCCGTACTGTGCTATGAAAACTGTGCTGTACATAAGAATCTTGAAAGTGCCCCATAGGATAGCTACCAGGCGGATGGGAACTATGGTGTAACATCTATGAATAATGACTGGAGGTTCAAACTTCCCTAGGTTACTGGTTAAAGTGACCCCACTCCGTTTGCTCTCAAAGGGGGAAGAGATGTGACACAGTGGGAATTTTTAATAATATTTTAAAGAATAATATGCATGCCAGTAGTAATTTGACTGGAGATTGCTATCCATTGGGTGCAGAAGGCAGAGCTGGAGACCTGAGGGAGGATGTGTGTCACAGAATCATCTGGGGTGATATGAAAGGGTCATTAGAGGACTGGCTGAAACTGACCCATATCAGTGGAGGATCAGGAAAGACAATGGAGCCCCAAGGACTGAACAGTTTGCACCTAACAACAGGAAACTCCATCAAGCAGGTGAACCCACTGTGGTCCTGCAGAAGGACAATGGGCTGAAAGGCATCAGGTGGCTTTTGGAAAAACTCAGCAGCTCTCACCTTAGACTGACAAAGAGCAATCTGGAGAGAGCCAAAATGGATTGTATAGCTGCTTGGCTACACTAGGGGCAGTTATACCACTTCAATCATACCATTACAACTTTTGTGTATAGACAAGGCCTTACATTGGTTTAGTTTGCCCCAGGACACTATCACACCTCTAGCTAAAGCATCCCCCAGAACATGTATACCTTCAATAATAGAATGTAGGGTTTGAAAGATATGCACTCAGCCCTTTCCAAACTCTGCATTCTATTATTGAAGGAATACATGTCCTGGGGGATGCTTTAGCTAGCTAGAAGCACACCACTTCTGTATATGGCTCTGGCGTGCAATGCCATGAAGGCAAATTCTATAGATCACAAACTGCTTTAAAGGGTTATTATCAGGTCACTTTCA